GTAAAAATTTTCATAATTGAAATTATAAAAAAAATATACCATTAAGTTTATATATAATTTTAAAATATTACACCCTATCCTTAAATACCTGAAAAAAATCGGGATTAACTGCTTTCCGTAATCTCCCGTAATTCGGGTAGTTTCGTGAGGTGCCCGCCCCTTTTTTGGGTATGCCCACTCTCACGTGATATATGCTACAAAAAAAAATTTTCGTGACTTTAGAAAAACCTCCTCTACACCCTCTATACCATCAAATAAGCTAAAATGTCCAAGAGAGGTGATTTGCAATTTTTATATTTCATGTAAATTAAGGCAGGCAATTTATAATGTGTCCTAGATACGTTTTATCCGCTGTGAAAGTAATTAATTTAAACGGCTTGACTTTTTTTTGACGCTCAAACAATATTTACCTGTTATTTTGGAGATGTTACCTCGTTTTATCTGAAAAACTTTATAGATCGCTAATTCTTTTTTATACATATTTTTATAATACATCTTCGATAGGACGTGGTGGTGGTAAATATAATTACTTTTCAATTATTACACGTAAATCATTTATTTTATATTAACAAAAAATTATAAATGCGTCTTTTTCAGCTTCTGGTAACAAATTTCGAATGACCTTGGGTCTTCCAGTTGGTGCAGTCATGAATTGTGCCGACAATTCTGGAGCGAAGAATTTGTACATCATCTCTGTTAAGGGTATCCATGGCCGACTGAATCGATTGCCAGCAGCTGGAGTTGGTGATATGGTTATGGCCACAGTTAAAAAAGGCAAACCTGATTTAAGAAAAAAAGGTAAAAAAATAGAATCGCATATTTACAAGTTGTATCGTAGATTCATACATTATACTTTATTTAATTGGCTTGCATAGTCATGCCCGCTGTTGTAATCCGACAAAGAAAACCTTGGCGTAGGAGAGATGGCGTTTTTCTTTACTTTGAAGGTAACTATGGAATTTATAATTTGGATTTTCGGATCAATACATAGCTAAGACTTTATTTTACAGATAACGCCGGTGTTATCGTAAATCCCAAAGGTGAAATGAAAGGTTCCGCCATCACCGGCCCCGTAGGGAAGGAATGTGCCGATCTTTGGCCTCGTATTGCTTCTTCTTCTGGAACTGTGGTAAGTTTTTATCAATTATTTGATTAAATATTTATTTGATATTTCAAAATTAGTTAATTAGTCTTTTCCACATTTTTTTCAAGGTATAAATCTGGAATCTAATTTTTGAATCTTTTAGAGTTGTAATCTTGAACAATGACAAAAAATATTGTGTTCAATAAATATTAAGTCATTATAATTTTAACACGCATTCATAAAAACATTATAATGCATAGTAATATGTTTACGTTGGCGACTTGTGGGCGATAATAGATCTCGCATGATGAAATTAATAAAACTGCAATATAAAAAGCTTATGTAAAATGAATCATTACTGATTATATTTATGATAATTTGCGTATTAAAACATAATTAATACTAAAATTGATACTGATTTTTACTATCTATCCGAAAGTTTTTTTTTTCTATTAAATAACTTGTTCATGGTAATAAAAAGCCCTTTTTTTCAATGACTAATAACAATGAAATAGTCTTCTTATAATACAAATTAGACTAAAAGATGTAATATACTAATATATAATCAAGTTAATTAAAGAATCTTCCCAACCCTGCTGAAAATAGTCTTCCCGCAAGACCTGGATTTGATCCTGCTGCCCTTGCCGCAAAGCCAGTTGCCCATTTACGTTTAGCATCTTTATCACATTGCGTGTAACCAACTACATTAGCCAAATTTAAAGTTATCGCGACGGCAACAATAAGAAGCCAACTTGGTTTGAATAAAACAAAGATAGCAAGGAAGATCCATATAACTACTGTCAAATAAAGTGAAGTCCAAAAAATACGGGAATCGGTTTGATTGACGGGTCGCGAAGGCTATAAAAAAAATAATACTTTGATTAAATTATTGTTGATTTGCTTGCCTTTTTTTTTGAATTAATCATGAAAAAAGTTACATCGCGGCTTTCAAACATCCAAACGTTGGTTCCATCGGGTTGAATATCATTCCACCATCTTAATCCAACCAATAATCTTCCAGTTACGTTCTTAACTGTCCAAAAATCAAAGGCCAATAATAACACGCAGATAATAAATACTAGAGGAAAACTTCCAAAAAAGTCACCAAATAAATAGACAAATACGGCTAATGATCGAAATAATAGATGGAAAGCTAGCGCTACAGGATGACTATATAGAAATTCATCATAAGTATACCAATAAATTCAATCAAGAAAATTGTAATAGCGATCTCCATGATCTAATTTTTTTATCATAGATATCAAGGAAGATACGAATAAAAAATGTTTACCTGGACTGTTCCCAGATACTTGGATTTGGATTTTGACTTTGGCTTTGACTTTGAATGTTATCAATTGTTCGTGCAGGTTCTGTTTGTACCGTTGGCGTAGTATTACCTTTGGCCTTGGTCCCCTGAGCAGCTTCAACATCTGGCTCCAAGGTTTCTGTGATCGCAAAAGGTGCGGCACCGGATAATAAACTTGAAGTTGAAGTTTCCTTTAAAGTGATGAAATCTGTAAGCACTTATTTAGCTTGACGCGTATCAAAGAAAAATCAACACAATACAATGCTTGCCATCTGAAAGTATCAAGTTGTTTGAAGATCGCCTCTCCAAAATTAATCGAACTCTCTTAAAAACAAAGTTCAAGTAGCACATAATATAAACAATTGATATACGTGATCATCAGTTAGTGGACAGTGAAAAAATAGATTTACCAAGATTGGCCAATAAGAATGTACAATTTGGTGTAACATTATATAACGTGATCAGTAATGTGGTGATTGTCTACGTTTCCGAAACTTACCGACAGTTCAGGTTGGCCAAATTTGTGTTGTCCGGCCCAAATTATACATAATCGATATTTTTCTATAAACACGTGATCAATGCCATAAGTATATAAAATGAACACTTCAGTTTTGAAAGCTCGGTAAAGTTTGGTGCAGATATAGGTAAATATACGTATATACGTCGCGAGCTATATTTTCAGTGACTCAAACACGTTACACCACGAAGTTCGCGTAAAAATTATTCGAAATGATGTCTAGCAGTAACCATGAAAAGCGTAAAGAAAGTAAAGATGCAGAATTGTCAGATGTCTTGAAAAAATGGTTACAGCCTCGAATTGGCCCAAAGTTAAAGAAGGGTTTAACTGTCGAAAAAGCTTGGGAGGACATCGTCAAAGACATTGCCATAAGGATTTTGTCTCCACTCCCGTTGGAAGTCTTTGCAAATGCGATTAATAGACTATCAAGGCTCGACGATATGGGTCGATTTGGTTTAGTAGAAAAACTTCTTACAATTTCACCTAATCCTGATTGCGCAACTGGTGACAGAGCCGAAAGAATACGTGAAATAATGATTGCAACTTTAGCACCTCAGGATACTTTGAATGGCTCATCCTCGATCGAAATTCAACCAGATCTATTTGATGTTGCTAGAACTGTCCTTGCACAATCTCACAGGGATTGGATCGGTACACGCGAGGCACTTTCAACCTTCCTCAAAGATTGTACCGCAAAATATAATTCTGACCGTAATGTGTACATTGTCTATCCTCATATCAATGATATTACAAGGAATTTATCTATGGACAAAGAAATCCAAACTAGTGTAGAATATTTCTTTTCTCGTATACAAGATGTTGCCAACGGGAAGGGCTTAAAATTTTTTGATCTTATAAAACCTAATATATTAAGCTGCGACAAAGAAGATATTGAAGAGCTTTTTTTAGATTATTTTCAAAAAGGCCTACCTTTAGAAAATGAGGATAAAGTTGGCACTGAAGAGTTTGAGAAAAACCGCCAACCGCGGCTTAAACCACCATTACTTAGACCAAGATGGCACAATCAACAGCATATGATGCTTTTAACTTTACAAAACGCTAAAGATCATACAATGTCACGTACAGACTTGATTGACGCCGCATTGGCTTTAGATGAAAAATTAAGTGCGGAAACAGGCTTACCGCGATGTTTTACTGGTCAGGTGTGTGACTAAATTATCGATTTTGAGTAATGTCGAGGCTTTGTGGTTTGTTACTTGTTTAATATCATAACTTTGTATTAGTTCACATTTAATTCACAGTAATAAAAAAATACCAAACTATATAGATTGTTTGCATTGAATAACTTTTTATTGACTTAATTTTCTTATTTACATTAGACACCAAGAAATTCAGCCAGCTCATGCTTGACGACCAATGCAGACAAATATTTTATACAATTCAAAAAGGATCGTTCACAAACGTCATATTACAAACTTGCTTTCATACCTGAGGATATCGACGATGCTATAAGACATTATAATAATTGGATGAAGAAATTAATCGAACATGATTGGCCACTATGTTTTGGGCGCGTGAAAAAAAACAAGCAAGGTTAGTAAGTTTAATTCTTTTACCAATATTTATTACTATTTGTTACTATTTACTAATGCTTTATTGAATTATTAGGTACGAAATTAATAAATTGCGGACGAGCAGTTATGCTCAGTGTAGGCGCAAGTAATCCTCAACACCTGCGATGTCGGCGTTGCGCACCCGATACAAGTTGTGATGTAAAATTACCAGCTTGCTCAAAATGTAAATCTAAAGGGTTTTTATGCATTTACCCCCTACGGCCAGGGGTGCATAAAGAACGTGAGCGTCCGAGAATCACAGTCAAATCTACTTCAAATTCTCAAAGCAGTGAAAACTCATCTAATGGTACAAAACATAAGAAAAAGTCTGTATCTCATCCAAAAAAAAGGCAGCAAAATGATGATTATTCTAATGGACACGAAACATGTGCACTTGCATCGACAGATGTGCTTTTAAGCGGATTAGATCTTACTTGTGTTCCAAAAAGCCTTAATGATGTAGTTGAGATTCGTCCATCTACAATTCCTAATGCAGGTAATGGATTGTTTGCCAAACGTAACCTTCCAATGGCAACGCCATTAGGTTTTTATTTTGGCGTTCCAACGATGGAGGATGAATTTGACCAGAATAAGGATAAAGTTGGCAGGGCATCACATTACTCCATGAGATATAAACATACAATACTTGACGCAACTGATGATAAAGGCGAACCATTCACAGATCCGAATGGTAAGATACATTGTCCTTTCCATTTCATGAATGAAGATCCATTCGGAAATATGGTTTTTCTAGAGGGAAGTGAAGTCAATCAAGTCATTTGTTGGACTAAACGGGATATTAAAAAGGGTGAAGAATTATTCGTATACTATGGTGGTGAAGTTGATAGGGAGCACTGGGGCCAAGCAGAGGATATAAGTGAGCCTATTGTTTGTGCTGGAGACAGTGAAGAAGATGAAATAGAGTTCAGTGATGAAGGACGAAACGAAGAGGAGGAAGAAGAAATATTATTCGACGATACGGTCGAGATAGATGATGAAAACATAAATACTAATTCTGGAACGAAGAGAAAAATTTCAACAAATACTCATGATATATCAGAAAGTTCGCCGCAAAGTAAGAAAGGAAAATTTGGTAGTTAGTGATTGTAGTCGATTAAAGATTTATAAGCTTAGCCGAGTTGATAATTTGATACGGCTTAGTCGAATATTATCTCAAAGAATTAAATCTGCCCATAATATTTCAGATGTTTGAACTATAAACTATAATCCAGAAATTCCCGTTTGCCACATTCGTATTTTTATGTTGTTTTATTTTACATAAATAAACGAAAAAGAAGATAAATCGTCGTTGTATAATGTTCCCGAAGTAAAAAAATAAAATAAAATAAACAAATAAAAATAAAATAAAATAAATCATAACATTCCCGAGGTGAAGTTGATCCAGAATGCAGTGAAATGATATCCATAGGCGTAGCAGTTGATCATGCTGTTAATCAGTATGACTTCACAAGACACTGTGTAAGCTCTTATATCTAAATTAACCTCGATATAACGAGATTATTAATAAATTTAGTCATAACGAAATTTTGAAATTTTGGTATTAATAGCCTGACCTCTTCATTATACAGTGTCAAAATTATATGACATAAAAATTTTGTAATTAGAAACTAAATTACATATATTTTTATTGGTTATATTAAGTTGTTAAAAAGAATTAAATTTTTCTTTTCAAAAATTTTTAAAAATCAAATATCTATATATATATACAGTCGCAGTCATAAGATCCCTCCTCTCATAACTTTTTAAATTAAAAAGCTATAGACTTAAAACTTTACTATAAATAGTACTGGATAAATCTAGGTTAGAAAAAAATGTTTATAATTTTTTAATTACTATAACAAAAGTTAGATGAAAGTTAAAAATTTATTAAAATTTATAGTAAATTTTTTATGCTAAAATTAGAGCTATTAATTTTAATTAAAAATTAATAAAAAATCAAAATTTAATTTAAAAATTTTAAAAAATTAATAAGTTAAAATTTAATTTTTATAATATTAAAAAAAAATTTGAAATAATTTAATGAAATAGTTATTGAGAAATTAAGTTTTAAAGTTAGTTGAAAATCTTTACTAAAAAAGAGTTTGTGTAATTATGTTTTTATTAAGTAAATACAAAATTATATCACATTCTTTTTAGTAAAAATCTTCATTTAACTTTAAAAATTAATTTCTTAATAACTATCTTATTAAATTATTTCATTATTATAAAAATGCTTAAACTTTAATATTTTAATTTTTTTAAAATTTTTAAATTTAATTTTGATTTTTTATTAATTTTTTAATTAAATTTAATAAATTTTAATAAATAAAATTACTCAAATTTTATTAACTTTTAGTTCTTATCTAACTTTTGTTGTAACTTAAATTTATTTAGTACTATCTATAATAAAAGTTCTAAATCTATAGTTTTTTAATTTAAAAAGTTATAAGAGAGGAATACTTATAATTGTAATTGTATATATATATTTTTTTAACTCTAAATAGTTATATTAGTACTTTATTTTTTTTTTATATTAAGATGATTTTTTTGGTTTTTTGATTTTATTAATATTTTTTAGATAACATAGTTTTATAAAAACTACTATAGAAAAAGTATACAATTAGTTATATATTTAACTTTTTTATATTACTTATTTAAGAAGTCTGCTCAAGGGTTTCTTATTAGTTGTCATATCTAACATCTTTGCTTAGGTGTTTTATTTAAATTTTCTAAATCTATAACTTATACTAACTTTACTAACATATTTTAGATCTTTGTTTTAATCTTAGAACTAATTTATCCTTGAGATAAACCCTTTAGAACCTTTTGTATTTTTATTTATAACTAATTTAAATTTATTATAATTAAACTAATACTTGTAGTCAAAACTAACTATTAAACTGTTATACTTTTGTAGAGTTTATACAACTCTAGTACTTTTTTTTTTTTTGTTAAGACCATACTTGTAGTGATACTTTATTGACTTTATATTAGGTTAGCTATTACAACTATTTTTACAAAGATGAGAGTACAGCTAGTCATATATGCAACTTTTGGTTGCTTATTTAAGTAGTCTGCTCTAAGGTTCTACACTAGATGCCATACCTATAACCTATTAGGAGATTATTTATTTAAACCCTCTGATCATCCGTTCTGTCATATTGGAATCTTCAAACTAACC